TCAATTTGGAGCCTAGGTCGCAGAAATGTGTTTTCATGGGGTATCCTGAAGAAGTTAAATGATACAAACTTTGAGCTAGAGATGAGAAGGGTTTTAAAATGATAGCCGGTAGGAATGTGACTTTTAATGAAGCTGATATGCCTTGTTTGATATGAAAGTGTCTAGTGATGTTCCTGAGAGTGAAAAGGATGAGGAGACTAGGATGCATGTGAAATTAGGCTACTCTCTTGAACTTGTTGAGGATGAACAAGTTGAGAATGAAGCTTGTGAGGAGAGTGGTTGTGTTACTGGTTCACAGGAACCTATTGAAGGTAGTGAACATGACTTAGTAAATGAATTAGCTGATCCTTTGAGTGATTATCAACTTGCCCGGGATAGAACTAGGAGGAAGATAAGGGAACCGTTAGGATGAATGATTATCAATCCTTTGCTGTTTTGTCATATCAAAACTTAGCTTTTAAAGAGCCTAAATCGTATGAAGAAGCTTTAAGTTGTCAACAATCAAATAAGTGACTAGGTGCTATGGAAGAAGAGATGAAATCCCTAGTGAAGAATAATACTTGGAAATTAGTTCCTAAACCTGAGAATAAGTCTTTAGTAGACTGTAAGTGGGTTTATATTATTAATGAGGGAAATTCTTCTAAACAACCTCTTAGGGCCTGTTTGATAGCCCTTTATTTTCCATGGAAGTTGGAATTGAAATTCCGTTTCCTACTTTTGTCGTGTTTGATGGTACTTATTTTTTCTGGAATTGGTTTTCCACCTTTTTCTAGGTACAATCCTTTGATGCACAAAAACTTGATTTTGTTTTCTCACCTATTTGGTGGGAAAACATTTTCCACCTTTTCTTTTTTGCTTTTTTTTTTTGTTGAAATGTGAACAAATTCTAGATATAATGGTAAAAAAAAATTTCACTTTTATTGACAACTTCCATGCAAAACAAAGTCAAACGAATGATATTCGGTATGGNACAAAACTTTTTACATTTTCCATAGAAAATTTTACCAATCAAACACAATTAATTACAATTCCCAGTAAAACATTTTCTAGGAAAATCAATTCTCTGTAAAACATTTTCTTTCCACCCATTTTCCAACTTTCCAATCAAACGAACCCTTAGGTTTAAAGCTAGACTAGTTGTAAAGGGGTTTACACAAAAACCTGGTATTGATTACAATGAAATTTTCTCTCATGTTGTTATATACACTACTATAAGAATCATGCTTACTTTGGTTGTTCAATATGATTTAGAACTTAAACAAATGGATGTTAAAACTGTCTTCTTGCATGGTAACTTAAGATAAAACGATTTATATGGTTCAACCACAATGTTTCATTGATTCTAAAAGACTTAATCATGTTTGTCTTTTAAATAGGTCTTTGTATGGTTTAAAACAATCATTTAGGCAATGGTATAAAAGATTTGACAATTTTGTGTCATCTATTGGTTTTATAAGAAATGCATTTGATTATTGTCTTTATTTTAAAAGAAATGATAATAATGTTGTGATTGTTTATCTTCTTTTGTATGCTGATGATATGTTGTTGAATCTACATAAAATAAATGATATAAATTACATTAAAAAGGTTTTAAGTGCTGAATTTGAAATGAAAGACTTAGGAAATGTTAGGAGAATCCTAGGAATGGATAATAAAAGAAATAGATCACAACAATCTCTTCTTTTAACACAATCTAATTACGTGAAAAAGGTGTTGTCCAAGTTTGCTATGCATGATTCTAAGCATGTTACTTTGCCTCTTGCTTGTTATTTTAAGTTGAGTAAAGAACAATGTCCACATGATGAATCTGATATAAAATGCATGCAAAAAGTGCCTTATGCTAATGTTGTTGGATTGTTATGTGTATTATGGTTTGTACTAGACCTAATGTTGCACATGCTATTAGCATCTTGAGTAGGTTTATGGCAAACCCAGGTCCTGGACATTGGACTGCTTTAAATGGATTTTAAGATACTTAAAAGGTTCTGCAAATTTAGATTTGCATTTTAAATTTTGTAAAGAGAGAGTTGTGTAAAGAGGATATGTGGATTCTGATTATGCTAGTAATAAGGATAATAGAAAATCAACCACTACATAATGTTTACTTTATGTGGAACTTGCATAAATTGGAAGTCTCAATTGCAGTCTGTTGTTGCCTTATCTACTACAGAAGATGAATAAGTAGATGCTACTAAAGCTATTAAAGAGTCTTTATAGTTTAAAAGCTTGTTGAGTGAATTAAATGAATTGCATAATCCTGTTGTTGTTTATTGTGATAGCCAAAGTGCCAATCATTTGTGCAAAAATCCAATTTTTCATGATATGACTAAACATATAGATATTAGGATACATTTCATTAGAGATATAGTTCAAAAAGAGTCAATATTGCTTGAAAAAATTCGTACACAATTTAATCCTGCTGATTTGGGAACAAAGGTACTTCCTCTTACCAAATTTAAATCATATTTGCAAATTCTAAGAATTGATACTGGTTAAACTTTGTGTTTTCTACATGTGTCATTGTTCTTGGTACTGGTGTTGATGAAAACAGATGTATTTGGTTGTTTATAATATTGGCATCAAGGGGGAGATTTGTTAGCTTGTGATGTCATTCTTGTCAATTGTATTCAATCCTTTTGGGGTGTGATGAAACTTGGGCAAAGCCCACTTGCCAAATGATTTTAGTTGGCCATTGCCCGATAACTCAATATTTGATTCAAGCCCAAAGCCGAGCCTAAGGTGGAGGCCACGTGTGCTGCTCTAGGCCGTTAGATTAATGGCTAGATTTACGGTGATAGAGATTTGTATATATACCAGCTAAATGGTCACTCTTTGTGTGGATTTTCATTCTGTTTTGTGTGAGAAGCTTCTGGGTTTTCTCTGTTCGTCTTCTCTGTTTTCTGTTGGCTCTCTTTACTGAGTGTAGTCCCTAAAACTTCTGGTTTTTTAGGCAAAATTTGAGTGTTTGGAGTCTGGGTGATTCTTCGCTTCTAGGTTTTGAGAGAAGAGATCAGTGTGTTGATCTCGTGTCCATTATAGTAGTTGCGGTGTGTTCATTCATCTTAGGGTTTGGGTTTTGTGGCTGTTTCATTATTGTACTGAATGGTACAGCGCTGTGTTCTGAGCCCTATATATAATAATCGATTTCTTGGTGTTCTTGATTTATTGAATGTTCTTCGTGATTCTATAAATTTGCTTCCGTTGATATTTTGGCTCTACAAGTATTTTAAGTGAGAAAACTTGTATGCAACAATAACATGGGCTACAAGTTAAAGGACTACAACACTGTGCAAACTTGTCCAATCTTTATATGATCTCAATCAAGCTCAAGGAAAAATGGCACCATAAATTTGATAATGCAGTAATAAGAATAGATTTGCCTATACTCAAAGATACACGTGTATTTGTTCTTGTACATACGATGTAATTGTATGTTTACGTGTAATGTAATTGTTTGTGTACAGGTAGATGACATACCCCATATGGGAAAAGAATAAAAAAAAACATCAAGGTGATCAACAAAAAAACCAAAATGTTCACTAGCAACTTCAATTCAAATCTGAGCTTGGAAATGTACATTATGAATTGTGAGAGAATATTTAATGTCATCAGACAATAAGCCAATGAGATACATAAGTAACACGGGCAATAATTGCTAGACATGCCCGATTGCTTCAACTTCTTGCAAGCTTGCAACGACAGGGAAAATATTCATTAACATTTCAGATGATGTAAAATAAGCTTAAATTTAACGAATGCACCCCTGCAGACTTTTATTATTCACTGTTAGTGATGGCAAAAAAACCCACCACATCCCCCCGGCGGGGCGAAAAAAACCCGCCCCAACGGGTTGGTGGGGCGGGGAGGGGGTGCCCAGCCCCGAAGCGCCCCGTGAAGAATAAAAAAATAATTAACTACAAATTAAAAAGAAAAATAATTAATTGGAAGTTTTTGAAAAAAAAAAACAAATAATAAACGGGGCAGGAAACGGGGCAAGCCCGCGCCCCGTCTAAGGTGGGGCGGGGCGATGTTCAGCAATACCATTATTTATGAACAAATTGATGGTTTCTATATGAACAATATGCAGGTGTCTTAGCCGTTTCTTTGATTTAAAAAAGGCAAAAATTTTACTCAATCAACATTCACTTAGCAGTTCAGAACAAATGAATTGCAAGCAATTTGGTGATAGAAATAATTCTCTGAAGTGAAATGGAAGGCAACTCATTAATTGCATATCTAAAGAGACTCTCGTTTATAAAAGTAATAATGTCAGTACAACACATTAAAATAGGGAGTATATCAAAACTTTAACACAGCCATGCTATGGTTGTTTAGGATCAGTTACTTTGAAATCTTTCAATAGACTTAGCAGTGAACTGAACATAATGGGGAGAGAGAGGGAGAGAGAGAGAGAGAGAGAGAGAGAAATTATAGAATCAAACAATATTTTAAGGAAAGAAACTAAAATCTAGTCAATTTCATTTCAGAGAAAATTTATCCTTGGGAATTAAAGTTGAAGAAACAAACCAAAACATGGAAAACATAATTTATTCCTTCAAATTTTGGATTTCACAGAGATCTACATGGTTTATTACACTCAGTTGAGATTCTTCAATTCCACTTCGAAAAACATTGTGAAGACTAGCAACATTACCTACTCTTGAAGAGTACTCTGGATGTCTAGAAGATCTTTACAACTCAAACAGCAGAAATTCGAACTTTATCTTCCATTGTGTATGTACAAAAGCTTATATTTCAGCGCACCCCACAGCATTCTCAAAAAGCCAGCCAGGTCTGGCCCCCCTTATTCTTTAGTGGGGTGGGGAGCATGTGTCCCCCACATAATTATCAATCAAATCAAGCATTCTGAAGCCTCGAGGAACCTTTTCCATCTGTGCTTTTCAGGTATAACTCTTGTCATTATTTAGATTGCACATACAGAAACACCATAACAGTGAGAGATCATTTCAAACCATACAATAACCTACAAAAATTCTTGTTCACTTTCCTCTTAAGCTCATGCTTTTTCGCTTCTGATTTAAAGCAAAACGACGTGCCATAGCAGGGTTATAGAATTTCCTCATGTGCTCAGATAGTCTTTGAATAGAATGGAGATCACCAATAGCAGAAAGCTGCATCAAGAATGCATCAAATTTTCTGTACGGAAACTTCATTCCCCTGTTTACAACTTCTTCCAAAAGAACATTTGCTTCCTTGGCATTACCAGAATCAAAAAGTCCTTCAACCATCACGCAGTAAGTATCCACATCCCGTGCACAGCCCCTGTTATCCATCTCCTGCCAGGTCTCAAACGCTCCATCAGGATCGCCCATCTTAAAAAACATTACAATCAGCATATTATAAGTTTGTACACTTGGCTCACAATTCACCTCAATCATTTTCCTGTATAGCGTAATCGCTTCGTTGCTATCTTTATTATCACAAAGAACCTTTAGGAAACAGTTGTATGTAACAACATCGGGGGGGTAACCCGACTTGCTCATCTCATCCAAAACTCTATAGGCTGCCTCAATCTTTCCAACCAAACACATTCCTTCAATCAGGTCTTTGTATGTTGACACGTCTGGAAGGCAGCCACTACTTCTCATATCCACTAAGAGTTTGAAGCATTCCTCCATTCTATCATTCTGAGCAAGAGCCACAATCATTATAGCATAAGTTTTTGCTGTAGGAGAAGACATAGTTGAGCCTTTTGATTTCATAAACTCCAAAATTTCAACAGCTTCAGTCACCATACCTGATTTGCAGAAGGTATCAATGGCAGTATTATACATAAAATTATCTGGAGTATGACCCATTTTCATCATATCTTCAAGCACAATCATTGATCTTGCTGGATTTCTGACCCTGCACCATCCAAAAAACAAAATATTGTATGTGTCAGCATTTGGTTTGACCTTGTGCATCACCCTCTTAAACATAGCTTCAGCATCCTCAACAAGACTACACTTACACATAGCATCAAGCAACAAATTAAATGCATTAATCTCCGGTTGCGTCTTCACTCTTATCTTTTTCTTCTTCGCGAACTTTTGAAGATGTGTCAAGTGCTTTTCGGTGTACTGTCTCAAAATGGTCAACAATACCTCAATAGGAACAGAACTCTTGTTGTTCCTTTTCATATAATCCAGCAGATCACACACAATCCGGAACTGCTTGACCTTGTACTTTGTACTGGATAGAATGTCAATCATCTCATTATACGCCTGAGGCTCATGACTATAATGTTCTTGATGCCCTGCCCAATTAAAGAATCTAAATGCCAATTTCTCCTCGAAATGAAGTCTGTGTAAGACCTCTACCACCAGAGGTGTTGTCAGTTCTACGCCTAGTTTATCAAGAGTCCATTCCATTTTATGCTCAGGATGCGAGTTATCTAAGACTGTTTTGTACACCTTGTCAACACCATCAATACATCTAGTGTGTGACATTTCCTCCAACGCAACTGGTTCTAAAGTGCAAAATTGCCTAAAACTTTGACCACCAAAGCTTAATGGAAGAACTAATTCAGTATCTGAACTAGAACTTCTCCTATAAACAAAATATGGGTTGATAAGTGAACTTCGATTCGATGTAAAAATTGGAGACTTGGGTACTTCAGTACACCTATCACAGTGACAAAAAGGGACAGCAAGTAGGAACGGATGGTGATGAATCGTGACTGATGGCAACCATATATTCCTAAAAAAACTATGAGCTGTATGTAAAGCATATGAAACTGATGGCCGGCACAACATTGTGAATAAATTCAGTTTACTGCCCCAGTATATATAATTGAATTAAAGAAAATAGAGGTATATGGAAGAGAAGGAGAGGATTACACTTGAGGGACGGCCGGTGCTGAAGGCAAGGACACAACCATACACAACTCGACGGCGGAGCCACCTGGAGAGGGTATCTCAGCTGACTGCGGCGTGCAAAATTCAAGGAGAAAGCACCACAAACTGGGCTATTGGGCTTTAATCAATCTTGTCTACAGTTTGGTGAAAGAAAAAGTCGATTCTGTTTGGGGAAGATTACATATTGAAGGGTAGAGAATAAGTTTAGCCTATTTTAAAAATAAGAAAATAAATAGATCCACTAGAGAAAGATTAAAAAATATTGTGATAGGAGGAATC